ATTCAACCTCTGCGCCTTAAAGTGCAGCCTTCTCTTTCATAACTCATTTGAGTTTTTGCTCCACAGAGCATATGAGAGCTTGCAGAGTCCATAACTTGCAATGGACTTGCATCAGAGCTGGACATAAGGCTGTTTCTGTGGCCTCTAAGCCTCCAGGGTTAGTCACTTCCAACAAGTCACTGGCCTAACAGTAGATGACACAGCTGTATTTCAGCCTTGCTTCCCTGTGGGGCAGCATTCCCCGCTCCTTAGTTTAAGTAAGTTTTTTTTTAGATCCTGTCTCTCTGTAGCATCTATGTAGCCTGGAATCTCAGAATTCTGTTTCAGTCATTGTTTCTGCTTTGTATTTCTGGTTTGTTTATCACTTAAAGAAAAGTCCATCTTGCTTTTTGGGATTAGCTAGCTCTATATAATTTTCATCTTAAATATATTTTACAAATCATTACTGTGGTTTTAAAGTCAGAAATGGCCTGAAAGTGTAGACTTTTAACAGTGTCTTGGCCAGAGATCTTGATTCTTCATAGGAAAAGTGAACTATTGCATTTTCCTCTTTTTATACTGTGAACTTCCAAAGGCTAGAAGGAAGACATTTTCATCCTTATTCACTCACACCTAATAATCTATGGCACACTGTAAGCACTTAATATTGAATTGTATTTAATGTATTTAATGAATTGTATTTAATATATTTAATGAAATATTGAATTGTATTTAATGGCTCTTGTCATCTTTTAAACCTGAGGTCAAAATGTTCGTTCTATGTGAATTGGGAAGTTAAAGAAGAAAGCCTTTATCCCATCCATTTCTTATATTCAGCTATATGAAGGATTAAAGTCTAAATCTGATTGTGAAATTTAGAACTCTCTGATATTTTTAATACTTAAAAATATGAATCTAGTTAAATATTTAAAACATGAATACTTAAAAACACGAATATAGTTTTGGGTAACAAGTTAGAGATGTAACAAAGCGATATATAGTTCTTCAAATTCAATAAAGTGGAATACCTAGATGGAAACACATTTTACACCTTACTTATATTTATTTATATGTGCCAATAACTGGGTGTTTTGAGGGTTTTAGTTTTGATTTGTTTTGTCTGTTTTCTTTTTTGGTCTGGCAAGTTAAACTACACATTTGCCTAAAAAGCTTTCAGAGAGGATTGCAATGGTTAAGCAAATGGCAACTTCTTAGTAGGAGGCGGGGTGGGGTAGGGAGGATATTCAGAAAGATTCATACAAACTATTAATGCCGACTAATTTTAAGTTTTAGTCAGACCTTAATGCACTATTTTATATCTATAATTATTATAATTATTTCTGACTGTCTAACTACCCTAATTCATATGCTAAAAATAATTTAAGACAAAGATCATTATCCTCAGTCAGGGGTTGCCAATCCCTGGACGACAGACCAGTACTAGTCCGTGGCCTGTGAGGAACCAGGAGGCATAGCAGGAGATGAACAGCAGGTGACTCAGCATTATCACCTGAACTCCACCTCCTGTCAGAGCAGCAATGGCATTAGGGTTTCATAGGAGTGCAAATCCTACTATGAGGGATCTAGATTGTGTGCTCCTTTTGAGAATCTAATGCCTGATGATCTGGGGTGGAACAGTTTCATCCCAAAACCATCCCCTGCCTTCATCCATGAAAAAATATCTTCCATCAAACCAGTCCTTGTTGTTCAAAAGGTTGAAGATCGCTGTCCTAAATGATCCACAAATGTGTCACAATACAGTAATATAATTTTGTATTAAAATAGTGCTTATTTATATATTTTTTAAATACCCTTTCTCATAAAATTTTCTTAGAAAATGTATGGGGTGATTTTCCATTTTGTAGGTAAGGAAATAAACACTTAGAAGCACAGAGGAAACAAACAGCAAACTGTGATTTGAACCTCAGGTTCGACCAATGTTTCAAACTCCTGGCCGTCCTGTTTCACTTCCTTCCATATGTTTCAACACTTCCCTACAGTCGGTAAAGTGTCATGGATTCTACTGGTTTTGATTTTAGATGAGAGGATTAGAATGATTTGGTTGTGTATATATTTTAATTAAAATGTTTTCAGTTTAATTTACTGAAACAGGATCTAAAATATGACAAAACTTCCTAGGGCATCTTTGCCTTCAGACATGGCCCTCACAAGCCTTACACTTCATCAAACCTGAACATAACACAGAGTGACCTCGTGAAACATAAATACTACTTTTAATACTCTACTACATGAAAAAAAAAAAAATATATATATATATGCATTATAACACTCTCTTTTTTTTCATCATCTTATCTTGGATATTTGTACACCAACGTTCACTAGAGCATTATTCATAACAGCCAAAGTGTAGAAACAATCCAAGTGTCCTTAAACAAATGATTGGATAAAAAATATGTGGTATGTACATACAGCAAAACATTATTCAGCCATAAAAAGAATGAAGTTCTAATACATGCTATAGCATGGATGCACCTTGAAAACACTACGCTAAGTGAAATAAGCCAGGCACAAAGGACAAATATATGATGATTCCACTTACATGAAATTTCTACAATTAGTGAATTCATAGAGACAGAAAATATCCATTACCAAGGCCCAGGGAAAGGGGAAAATGGGGAGATATTGCCTTACACAAAGTTTCTACTTGAAGTGATGAAAGAGTTTCAGAAATATGGTGTTGATGGCTGCAAAATACTGAGAATGTAATAAAAGCCACTGAATTGTACACTTAAAAACAGGTAAAATCTCAAATGTTGTTTTATATATGTGGATATACATGTATATTTATCCCAATTTTAAAAATTATAATGTAATACACCAAAAAAGATTGAGTGTGCACTTGGCGGTGCATTGTATGATGTGTAAACTATACCTAAATAAAACCGTTTCTTTTTAAAGCTGCTTATTTTGGCAGACCAAGACATTCAACATGTCATTCCCTACTTCATCTCACACCAATTAATGCCATATTATTTGCATTTCAATTGCACCAAATGACTCCTTGTCTACGTCATGCTTTTCATGTCTTTGTACTAAATATTTTCTGAATACTTAGTCCAGAAGAGTAATTTTCAGTCTTTTTGGTCTAAGGATCTTTACACTCTTAATCATGATTGAAGGCTCCAGAGACTGTGTATGTAGGTCAAGTCTATATCTATTTACTGTATTAGAAATTTAAACTTAAAATAAATTGTTTTAAATATTTACCAATTTTTTTAAAGTTAGAATAATGCATTAATTGTGTTCATCTAAATAGCACCTTCTAAGAAAAGTAACTATTTCTTAAAAAAAAAAAATAACAAAATATCATTGTTTTACAATGTTACAAATATATTTGTCTTACTAAAATACAGCTGTATTCTTCTATCTGCCTCTTTATCCTCTCATTGTGTTGTTTTGGTTGAAGTATATGAAGAGAATCCAGTCTCACACAGTTGTGTAATTGGAAAAGAGAAGAGTGTTTTAATAATAACCTTTACAGATAACTGGGTATTCTTTCATACTACACCTACACGTGACAAGTGGTAGTTACCTAAAGGTTAGTTGCAGTGTGGAATCTGAAAACATGGTGATGAACTTTTCATCCTCTATTACATTAAAATTCATTGGTCTATCTTGCACTTTGAATAAATCATTTATTCATGCATGATTTTATCATGTCATTTGAAAATATTGGTTCTCTAACTTATGCATATTTTCTAAATGTTGACACATTTCATTATGCAATACCCCAAAATCACATGCATTAATATTACCACCATCTCAACAGAAAAGCCTGTTAAGTATTGGGAAGCTGTCAAGGTTACTGTGGTGGTTACAAGACTTCTAATGTTTTACTTCAGAGTTTGGTTTTTACCATTTGCAACACATACAGTAGGTCATTTACCTTGAAGTGACACACTCACTGTATTCATTCTTTAGAAAATGTCCACCACACATTCAGGCTTGGACAGCTGTAGTTTAGTTATTCAAATCTAAATTGTTACTTAAAAAATGATTAAATAAACTAGCTTACCTTTAGTATAGAACTAGGTACAGGCTTTTAAAAGCATAAGATGAAGACTCATAGAATAAAATAAAAACTTTGCAATATATAGTAAGCAAAAAAGCAGTTAGCTGAGTAATATATTTAGTATCATTCTACTTTTATAACTAAAAATTTCACACACATAACCACATTCTGGGGCATGTCACATGTCAGTTATGGGTAAGTAAACAGGATTAATGGTTTCAGAGATGAGGCAGGGATTTCATATTTAAATCCATATTATTTGAACACTCCACAACAAATTTATATATTACTTTGCAATTTAGAAAGCAAAGAAAAAAATGATTTCCATATAGTGAAATTGGAAGAGTGGGAAATATATGGAAATCACACAAAGACATCAAGAAAAAAGTTGTGTGAGGAATAAGAAGACGGTTTTCATTAAACTTGAATGACAAGAAAAAGGTTTCCCTAAATTATGTGGATAATCCACACTGAACATTATGCTTGAATAATTTTGTCCCATAAAAACATTAAAAATATTAGGTCATTTCTATAACATTTCTTCATCAAGTCTGCTATATACATACACACAAAATAATCTCTGATGTTTGCTTGAGAAACCATTATTAACTAAATATTACTGAAGAGATATTCTTAAAGATACAATTTGCCCACTGGAAAAAAAAATCAATTAAAACAGTTTTATACTGAAAAACTATTTTTCATGAATTTTAGTGCAGTTATTTATAAGAAACAGTATGATAAAATATATTAAACCTTCCATGATTAGAAGCTAATAATCATAATTTGCTGTACATGCTAGCAGTTAATTGCTTCTTTGACATTTGGCGGTAGGGTTGGGGGGGTTGAATGATAATAGCCACATTAACTTCTCAATATAAACTCTAGGAAAACGTAATTGCTACATGCAATTACCACTATTATGTCTCTAGTAACCTAAATGATATCGTTTCCATATAACTATTTAAAATTAAATTATTGTACTTACTTTCAACAATTACTTGTCTGTCTTCCCAGTTGTCTTTAATAAGCTGTATATTTCCAAAGTGTGCGTCACTGTAAAAGATTCGGTTGGTACCTTTTCTTCTTTGATTATAGTCAAAAGCCAAGGCTATGACATTCTTGAAATAATGTGGATTCTCATATGGCCTTATTGGGGAATTTAAATTGGTTTCATCAGAAAGATGTATACTTTTTAATATTGTTCTTCCTGAATATAGCAAATAGCCTTCATGCCTCAGGCAAGTAACTCCATCTTCTGCCAAAAATCCATGGGCACAAGCACAAGTTCTCTGGGAATTTCCTCGATAAAGACAGAGTTGCTTACAGCCACCATTGTCCCTGGCACAAACATTGGTCCCTAAGGAAGAAAAATGATACACACATGCACGTGTTTATGTTTTTCTTTTGTTTTTCAAACAAAATTCTCCATAAAGAAATATTAAAACTTTGATGTTGAGTATTCTTTTTATTCTTAATTGTAAGTTGATTAATAAAAAATTTAAAAAGTACTGTTTTTTAAAAAAAATCACAGCAGTTTAAATCTTGGGTTTCTTATTTAGAAAATCATATTCTGTTTCATTCACCATCCAAGTTAAGTATCAAATTTTTCCCTTAATGAGCCAGTTAAGTATATAAGTCTTTTTTGAAACTTGATCCTTAGATTATAGTGTTTCATACATTGTTCATTCAAAACATGAATTGATCTCACCAGAAATAATGCACTGCTTTAAACTCTATCTATGAGACATGGAAAGTATCAAGTAAATCTATGGCTACAATGCGCCCAACCTCCTAAATATGTTGAGCATAAGTTCTTACTCCAATTTTAAGGGAAGATATAATATGCACTTAAAATTTATTCACCAGTCTGATTCTTCTCTGTGAATTCATTATTATCTCCAACATTATTATAACTTCCTTTGATATAAACAAGTTAGTTACAATTTATTTTAATGGAGGTAAACACATTTTAAATACCCAAATCATTGTCCTATAAGTTATTTTAAGGAAGTAATGACTTTGGAAATATTTTACACTAACAGCATGACCTTTGGGGATCATAACCACTTATATATAATATGATTCATATTATGTATAAAAATTTCAACTGCCTTTTACTCTCTAATATCCTACTTATGCTTTTACTTTTTATCCAATCAATACATGTATCAAGTTTTTCTATATTCTTTAGCCAAAACCTATAATCAAGACATGCCAGGTATGTAACATGTCCATGTACCTGTGCTGTCCTGGGCAAATATGCTTTTGTATGAAAGCGGGCGCGGTGGCTCAAGGGCGGGTGGATCACGAGGTCAGGAGATCGAGACTATCCTGGCTAACATGGTGAAACCCCGTCTCTACTAAAAATACAAAAAACTAGCCGGGCGTGGTGGCGGGCGCCTGTAGTCTCAGCTACTTGGGAGGCTGAGGCGGGAGAATGGCGTGAACCCGGGAGGCGGAGCTTGCAGTGAGCCGAGATCACGCCACTGCACTCCAGCCTGGGAGCACAGCGAGACTCCGTCTCAAAAAAATAAAAAAAATAAAATAAATAAAAAAAAAAAAAAAAAAAAATATGACATATTTTCTGTATTAGGCTACTATATGATATTTGTAGGAAATTAGATGTAAAGATAAGGTTTTGAGGTTTTAGACTCATATAAGAATTTCTAAGTTTGACAAATGTTTTTTTAAAAATTGGAGAGAAATCACATAAAATATATGTATTATGTATTCTTTCAAGAGTACTGACCTTTCTCTCTTACTCGGTTAAATATTTTAACCTCCTTCAGGTTGACTCCAAGACCAGTTCTCATGGTTATCGTTTCTGTGGCATCATTCTTGTGGCCCCTTCTGACGGACCCGTTTGCATGTGCTCTGCCAAAAAGTTGAACATACATGATCAACAATCTTCGACTAATTAAAGTCAAGCCAGTTACTTAAGCTGAAGATAACAGATGGGCCAACAGAAGGAAAAAAAAAAAACAACTTTAGTCTGTGACATTGAAATGTTTGAGCTTGGAATAGCAATAGTGCCTGCCTTTTCTGTGGAAATTACATGGCTTTGTGAGATCCTTTGTTTGACCTTGCTAAGAAATGGCAAATCCTACAAGGGTAAAGCAACTGGCACTGAAATAACATTTTGAGACTCAAATACTTATAAAAAAATAAATTACCTGTCAGACCAGTAGATGTAAGCCCCAAAGACTGCAACTGAAAACATATCCACATTGCTTCCTGACAGCACCACCTCGCGATGCCCTCCAGTCTCAAGGTCGATTCTCTCTATCTTGTCTGTGCGAGCATCACACCAGTACAATTTATTTTCCTAAATATCGATTGAGAAGTAACGTTACAGACTATTTTTGATTGTTTTATTAAGAAAATAAAGGAACATTGAAAGTGGGTTAATGAAAGTTGTCAGCTAATGCACTTCAAATACTGAAAAGAAATCCAACAGACCTCATAGTCAATGGAGATACCATTTGGCCATGCTATTCCCATGCTTACAAGGACAACCTTCTCTGAGCCATCCAAACGAGCCTTTCCAATACAGGGCATTTGTCCCCATTCAGTCCAGAATAAGAGGCTGAAATTAAATTGTAAATTTGTAGTATTTATGTACATTTATCTGTAGTATGCAGAGCTATATAAAAAGACATTACTAATAATAACAGCAGTAACATTCACACTAGAACAAAAATAATACATTTCAGAAATTAATATACAGTGTGTGTTTCCAATAAAATAATTTTATCGTCAAAAAAGAGTTAACCAGTCATAGAAATCATAGGATGCACTCAACATCCTACCAAAATACCTTTTGTGCCTGCTCTTTCCTGTCTCAAATGCTCTTCTCCAACCTGTTTGCCTAATTACTTCCTACTTTTCATGTCTCAACTATTTCTTTCCAGAAGTCTTCTGTGTCTTCCCTGTACCATGTGCTCTGCTTCACAGCACAGATTTGAATGGCAAATTTCTACTTGCATTTCCTTACATTATCATTTATTATAAATATTTTTTGCCCCCCGTAGACTGTAAACTCAACAAGGCCAGTGATCACTCCTCTATTTTTATTCACTGTTACTCCTTCAGCACCAGGTAATTAGAAATTTTGTGGTAAATACATATTTAATTTATGAATATAGACATGAATGCATCACAACTTTCTATATTGTCCACTTAGACTGCTAAATGTAACTATTCTAGTTTGAATTTTATGTTATCTTGTGAAGTCGTCTTAAAATACAGTTTTATGCAAAAGCAGAAATTCTTATTTTAGTAATCTTCTAAAACAAAATGTGATGGGGGAGGATGTGGAAGAAAATATCATGCAGAAAGAACACATAGAGTATGCCAAAATAAAACAACATGCCATAAAATAAAATGTAGAAAAGCAGAATGTGTATAATCCATGTATTTCACTCATTCATTCAAAAAATTCAATATTCATAGGACTCTACAGAAATCCATGCTTTTAGATAAATGTAATTCCTTCTTAATTCTTAATTTGAAGTTACATCTAGTGAAGTTTTTATCCAACTATCAGACATCAGCAGTGAATACAGTTTTAAAAATATGGCAAGCATTGATTCAAAAGCTGGGTGTATATTTCCTAATTATAAAAAAATATTGTTAATAGGTATATTGCACCTATTTTTTAATAGGTGCAGTTTTTATTTTTATTTTTTATTTTTAATAGGTATATTGCACCTAGACAGTGAACATAGTACCTAATGGGTAGTTTCCTGCCCCCCTCAAGTAGTCCACAGTATCTCTTGTACCCATGTTTATGTTCATATGTGCTTAATGCTTAGCTCCCACTTATAAGTGAGAACACATGGTGCTTGCTTTTCTGTTCCTGTATCAATTCATTTAGGTTTATGGCCTCCACCTCCAGCCATGTTGCTGCAAAAGGGCTGTTTTCATTCTTTTTATTGCTTCATAGTATTCCATGGTATATATGTATATTTTCCTTTACCCATCTACCTTTGATGGGCACCTAGGTTGATTCCACATTTTTGCAATTTCAAAAAGCAGGGGGATGGACATATGAGTGCATGCGTCTTTTTGGTATAATGATGCATTTTCCTTTGGGTATATACTCAGTAATGGGATTATTTGAATGGTAGCTCAGTTTTAAGTTCCTTGTAAAATCTCCAAACTGCTTTCCACAGTGTCTGAACTAATTTACACCCTCACCAACAGTGTATAAGCATTCCCTTTTTCCTGCAGCCTCATCAGCATATTTGAATAATATATGTGAATAGTCACATAAGAATCAGTGAGACTGCAAACAGAAAAATTAAAGACTTATATTTTGTTTATACTCACTGGAGTTATTTAAGTACAAATTGATACTTAACTAAATAAAAATATATGTATTATTTATCTATATTGTTTAATTTGTTTTAATAGCTGATATTTTTCTTGAAAATGCTGTGTAAAATAAACATGTTAGAGTTTTACAGACAAACAAAAATGAGGTACGGCTACAATCTCAATTATATTAATCCTGAAGAAAATTTCAATCATATTTACAAGCTTTATACATAAGAAAGGAAAAACTTTGTAGCATAAAATCCAACTAATATTTTATTGGTAAGATATTATCGAAGAAGTAGTAGATTTAAAAATCTACACTTTTATTAACGTCAAGATTTTTAAGACTTTAAGGTATGCTCTCATTGGATGAAAAATATTATTCCATATAAAATAACTAACTGGCAGATGAAATGCATTGCTGCACTTAAATTTTTAAGGAAAAATATGCATTAAAATGGCAGGTAATGGTATACTGTGAAGGAGGCACTGTGAGACCAGGACAGACATATGCTAACTCATCTAATCTGATTCTTATCATCTATTTTTAACATACTCCAAAGTTCACATAAATAAATAAATGTGTATATTAAACATTTTACTTAATACTGATCTACTTGCAAATGCACTAATAAAAATATTATTTTGAGTGAACAGACCAAATAAACTATAGGTTGGTGCACAAATAAATGTGTTTATTGCTATTAAAAGTAATGGCAAAAAGCACAATTACTTGTGTACCAACCAATCTACTTAGCCCTAATTCTCAGAGCTGTAGTAATTATGATTAGGAAGTAAATGATCCACAGTCCACATGGCCAGTAAGAGGGCAAGCCAAGAACCACACTCAGGCTTTACTAATCCAGGCCTAAATTGTCTTCCCTAGGATACGTTGTCTCACTAAATAGAAAGATAACACAGAAATATATAATGATATTTATATTCAATGATATTTCTTTAGCTATAAGATGTGTAACAAAGAAATCTCCATATTTAAAACCACAAAACAGGCCTGACACAGTGGCTCATGCCTGTAATACTAACACTTGGGGAGGCCGAGGCAGGCGAATCACTGAGGTCAGGAATTTGAGACTAGCCCGGCCAACATGGTGAAACCCCTTCTCTACTAAAAATACAAAAGTTAGCCTAGCATGGTGGCACGTGCCTGTAGTCCCAGTTACCTGGGAAGCTGAGGCAGGAGAATCATTGGAACTGCAGAAGGCAGAGTCGCAGTGAGCCCAAGATCACCAATTGCACTCCAGCATGGGGTAACAAAGTGAGACTCGAAGGAAAGGAAGGAAGGAAGAAGGAGAAGGAAGGAGGAGGAAGGAGGAGGGAGGGAGGGAGGGAGGGAAGGAGAAGGGAAGGAAGGAGAAAGGAAGGAGAAGGAAGGAAGGACCAAAAAAAAACCAAATAATGAAAAAAGGTCTAGCATTGAGAAGAAGTCTCCTCCTTCTGAGTTTTTTTCCAAGTAATCCTGTCTTTTTAAAAATTTGGAATACTTTTATGCAAAAGACTGAGAATAAATGTAAAAAAAATGTATAAAATTATTCTAAGTAAAACTATTTTTTAATCCAGAATTTACACAATTTTTTTTCTGTGGAAAACAGTAGTGATTAGATATACTATCATTATACGTGAAGCCAAATCTTACTGTGTAGGAATCACTTTTAGAGTTAAATAATTTATCAACTGAATAAAAGTAAAAGGTTTTAAACCTATCAAAATTAAGCAAACATTTTATGTCAAGGACATAATAATTTATTTGCTCCTTAAACTGAAATTGAAAGTAAAGAAATGAATAGAATTTGCACCTTGAGAATCTTTGGGGATTATAAACCAAATGTAGAGAAAGAACCCTCTCTGAGCTCGTAAAACTGCATGAAGAGACCTGTCATTTAAGGTAACAATTTACATAGATGCACCTGAGATATCATTAATGAACACAGATTCTTGGTATCTAAATGTGGTCTTCAGCAATAGGAAATGAAAATATTTGTACCTGGTTTTTGAGACCCTACTGATATTAGTATTGAGTGACAAAATTACCATTGATTTTGAACCTATTTGAGTTCAAATTGTGCAGTTGTGAAATACGTGTTGACTACATGATACAGCCAAGAAAAATTGATTTTAGAGTATCAACTGTGTACATGGAGCCCTACTAAAAATACTTTCTCAAATCCAGAAAATATTAAACTTGTCCAAATCAAATGCTGTATTGTAAAATTGAATTTTATGTAAATAATCAAGTAGTATTTGTTAAACTAAACTGAAAAGTTCTTTATTTAAATAAGTTTGCACTTACAAATTTAAAAACATATAATTTCAAAAGGGACATTTAAATGTGGCTTTCAGAATTATAGAAATTTTATCAGTAATTGTCTTAATACAAATATCTGTATTGTCTTAATTAGACTTTAACAGTTTTGGGCAGGAAAATGGTGCAATGAACACATATCACGAGTGAATTTCCAACTAATCATTGACATTTGGATAAATAGGTAAAAAGATCACATTTGGTAGCACTGGAGTGCCCAAAGACCTAGCAAACTCTTAATGGACCCTGAAAGTTAATTGTATTTATTTTCTGACAACTGTACAGACTGATATCAGAATTAGTTTAGATTCAGGTATACACTTTTCAGAATTTTTTTTTTTTTTCCTGTCACAAGCAGTTATATTCAAGCTGAAAAAATACACATTCAAACTATTATAAATGCCCATGAATAAATTTGAGAAAGCTAACATTGGTGACAAAGCTCTGATTTTTGTATGAGAAGGGTAATAGGGTGAGAGAAAGAAAATAGTAAATAAGTCTATTTTTTTAAGAGAAACATTATTAAATTTTATCCTTATACTCTACATATACGAGCAGTTGTGAAAAGCAAGAGTAGTTGGAATTAATCATTTTATCTGGATTTAAAATTATCTTCTTTGACTGCTAAACTGTTTCCCTGGAGCTCAAATTTGAGTTGCAATTTTTACAATAAATGTGCCATTTCTTCCTACTTTTCTGCCTTCCCTAAGTGAGTATGATTTAGATCCTTTGTCACATATGATAAAGAAAACCTGAGATAACCAAAAAATGTTCATGCTGGCACAAAAATGAAGATCAGGTAATTCTCTTATGTCGGCAGTTGGCCTTGGTCAAGAAGAGAATCGAGAATGTCATTGTGTCCTCTCCTAGCGTGGGGGTGAACAGTGGGTTATCCTATCTGAAAAAAGTAAGAGAAACAAAAAAGAAAGCAAAATAAAAACCCTACA